CTAAACGCACTATTAATTAACCCAGATGTCAGGTGATATCAAGCAAGATGATTCTCAAATCCTCATTTAAGCCTTACCAAGCCTCTTCGCCTCAGCCGCCACACCCGCCGGAATCTCATCCTTCAGACTAGGACTCTTCGCCTCCCAACCGAAATACTTCCTAGCTCGAGCCGCCACGCTCTTCGAGTTAGTTCCCAGCTTCGGGATGTCGATCTCCTTGACAATCGGCTCGGGAATGAGCCCCTGCTTGGCGGCCTCGGCGGCAACCCACTTGGACACGTCGCTCCATTTGTGCACGCCGCTCTCGAGGAAGAAGTAGGCGTTGGGCCCGAAGATCTCGGGGTTGGTGTTCTGGGCCGGGTCCAGGGCGGCCTCGACGGCGAGCACGTAGAAGGCGCTCAGGTCGTGCAGGTGCACGTTGTCCCACTCGGTCAGGCCGGGGGCCTGGATCGGCGCGTACCCGTGGTTCAGCGTGTACTCGACGATGCCGGGCACCTGGATGCTGCGCTGGTTGACGGGCCCGCGGCCCACGCCGTAGATGGTCGGCGGCCCGACGATGAGCGTCTTGACCGCGGGCGACTCGCTCGCCGCCGCGATCACGATCTTGTCCACGTTCCGGTGGATGGCGGTGTCGGGCAGCGACGTGATCCGCGAGATGTCGTCGATGTCGTGGTACTTCTGCTCCGGTATGGGTCCTTGCCCGTAGCGCTCGCGCGCCGCGTCGTACCATGTTAGCATTCCTGTTCCGCACAGGTGGATCCAGTACCCCGGCTTTTCGGCCGTGTGTCCGGCTGCTATACCCTTGGCGATGGCTTTCGCTGAGGGCACGTTGTCGGCTGAGTCGGCCGTGTCTGGGGGTTGTTAATCGTAATTAATTGTTCACTAAGATATTGGTAGATAACATACGAACTACAATGTCCGCTGCTGCGGCTTCCTTCTCGATGACATCGGTGTCGTCTAGAGTGCCGTAGACGAGACGGGCCTCGGGGTAGGCGGCAGCGACTGGCTTGCCACGCTCCTCGTTTCGCACGAGCAGGGTGAACTCGTACTCAGGATGGGCTTTGACCAGCGAGTAAAGGGCATCCCCGCCGATGTAGCCTACATTTTTGTAAGTGTTTAGTATTTATACCAAAATGCATCTTATCGCTACTCGGCTCTTACCAGTGGCGCCGGTGCTGTTTGCATCCTCATCAGCTGTTAAATTCCTACAGAAATTTGCGGTTGACATGCCACTTACAGAAAGATCTTTGGGGCCATCGTGACGACTAAATGATATCAATTTACAGGTAATGGAGGTGGTGTAAGTGGTGGTTCTCCGAGCGGGGTTGAAGTTGGAGATGGAGGGTTTACAACAGTCACATTTACTCTGTTGATGAATTATAGAGAGATAAAAAGAAAGGTCTACGGACTATATACTTGAAACCTAAATCTAGGTTTTACTTTTATTTTTATTTTGTCTCATGACAAATGTCCATTCTTGAAAGATGATTCGAGATGGAAGTTGCGCCATCCAAGTTATTCATGCTAATGCCACCCACCTCCAACTCTCCCCCACTCTTGAAAGAGGAGAGCCAAGGAGAGCTATGTAATGTGCCCACTTATTTCCTATAACGTTATTTTTCCTGCCTTTTGATTGGGCAATGGGGATTTCAGTATTAGATACAGGTATCCAGCGTGCTCCCGCTATTAGTTTGTTTGTCGGATGTGTGCAGGTGCGTCGCGACGGTGCATATCAACTTTGCTTCTCACTTTGTGGCAGTGGCAGCTAATTAAGTGCACCACTCCTTAACAACAACGACGGGAATCTCCTAAACACTACAATCAATCTAAATTTGGGATATTGTTTTTGTTGGATTGATTCCACCGTCCCATTATTTGCCTAACATGGTAAAAGCTACTACATGTATGATATATCACTATTGCGGAGTGAGGTACTTAACCCGCTATACCTAGCTGACGCCGGCAATAGGGGAGACAGTGTAATTCTATACTTGTCCAAAATTCCACCATTACAAATCCATCATGCTACTTTCATATCTTCCATGTAGTATTTATATCATCTTCGCCCGGCAGTCAAATTGGTTGGTATCTCTTAAACTACTGCCTTCAAACCCCTTTGCTCTCCCAGCCACTTCGCATTATCACGAATGCAATCCTCAAGGCTAATCCATCCATGCCCCGTAAGTCGTTTCAACAATTCCTCTGCTCTTTCATTGACAACTGTTCCCATGTCCTGTCCCATACCAGTAACATCGGTCCCAAAGTTGTATCCTGGGTATGTGCGCCTCAGAATGCCCAGGATTTCGTTCCAGTCCCAGCGCCCGGCATAAGCTGGCAGACGCTCCCCAACCACGTCGGGATACTCGAGGGCGGCGATGTGCAACGCGGCGTTATCTCGTACGTCTACGTACCACTGCGGGTCGTAATATCGCCCTTCATATTTGGGAGCTGCATCGCCCAACTCAAACGCTGACTGAATCCAGTGGGACGCGATACGGTAGCCCTGGCGAGCTGGGTCAACCGGTGCGCCATATACCACGCAGGGTAGGACCGCGTTGAAGGTGAAGGAGGGGTTGTTGTCCTTCATAAACTTCCATGCCGCCTCTGTGCGAGAGTCATTAGTCATTCTTTTTCAGTGCTATCTAACATCTATGCAGGCATGCGATAAGAGTAATAATAAACTCAGACGGTTAGGGCATGTAATTGCTGCTCAGCTAGGGGCTGATGGAGGGTTCAGGTGTTACTTACTCTCGCCCAGAGTCTTGCTCGCGTAGTAGACCTCCTTGAGGCGATCCATAGTTTCTTCATGGGGACCTGGCGCATATGCCTTTTCGACCGTTTCGTCGTTCCAAAGATCGGGACTGATAAACTGCACCTTATTTGGAACATTGGTGACCATGTCTCCTCCCGAGGCTGTCAAAACTACCCTCTTGATCCTTGGTTCCTTCACGGCTGACTCCAGGCAACGCAGTGTGCTTTCCACGGCGATGGGGACCATGACATCAGGGTCCGCGCTCGTGAACACCGGCGATGCGACATGTATCAGACCCGATGCCCCTTTAATCGCCTCATCGAAGCAATTGCTGACCATCATGTTAGGCACTTCGACCAGCTCAAATTTCCCTTCGCCGTGCGCCTCTTTGAAGGTCTCGTAGAGCCATTTGTCTTTGGAAATACTGAGGACGGCGCCCCGGGCTCGGTATCCCCGTTCCAACAGTTGGGCCACGATGTGCCCCCCGATATATGAGTCCGGGCCTGTCACTAGTATCAATGACCCGGAAGGGACGACAGAATCGTTTGGTGTCTTCACCGTCATTTTAGAATATAAGAAGTCCGAAGCCAAGTTCACCGTTTTAAATGCTAATCCTTCTTATAGATAGAAGCATATAAGATTCGATTCTAGGCGACTCAAGATTGGTTCTGATTATGAATTATATAGTATAGAAAGAGGAATGAGCTTGGAACTGTAGGTCAGACCCAGCCTATTACTTTTGAGGATCCCATGGTCCTTGATTACTCAGTCCAGAGGGTCTAGGGATCTTGGGGCCCTTCCATGCCAAGTTTATCATACCTGGCTAGACTACGGATTCAGCGGAACTATTTAGTGTGGCGTCGGACCTGCAGATAAGCTGACAACTTGTAGGTATCCAATAACATCATAACGCATGCTCATAGGTCGATATCTAGATAGCATTGCAACGGCTTGATATCTATGATCGTCAAATCTCCCCAAACTACCTCCAGACGAGCAGGTGAGATACAATACCAAGCCCCTTACGTAGTCTCAGATTTGATATATTGCATCCATTATTACCTGGTTTCGCGTCCTATCTCTTCAAGTGCCAAATACCTCTTCTCTCCCCGGTCAATATGAATGGGTACTATCGTTCATTAACCTCTAAAGAAACACCGCTTGATACGCCGCAATGCGCTCGACGCCGTAATGGTGCAGCAACAGTTAGCCGCCGAAATTCGCTCGGACCACCTTTTCTACTCGGACCGGCGCCAGGGGAGGCAAGTGGATTATGGCAATTAAACAGATACGCCAAGGTCGAGCTTATGTATTTCTGATGACGTGATCAACCCTTAATTGTAACCTTGCGAAAAACTATCTCTCACGCATACCAATAGTAACAAAGCAAAGTGAGAGAAACAAGTGACTCAAGCCAAAAGTACGACCTCCTCCCCTTGAGGAGACGCAAAGAATAGATTACGGGAACTTAAGCCGAACGTTGCCGGCGCTAAGTTTACGGGTATCAACGCCGACGTCTAAAACTTGTTTTTCTGTGTAAGAATATTACTGGTAAAGTTATATCAACCGGCGAAATCTTCCCGGGTTCTTGTCAGCTTGACTACCGCAATGCTCCCTCTCTCTTGTAATACCCATCCCATAATATCCAGCCAATGATAATGGGGGGTGGGTCTGAGATGATATGATTTAGTGTTCTGGCTAGACTCTCTTTAAGTATTACAGGAAAAGGGGGGAAGCATTGTGATTATAGTTGATAAATAGGGGGGATGGGGTCGATGCTGTGTAACCCCATCTGTTTGTGTAACTACCCCGAGATTCGTTAGTGCAACGCCTGCACCCCAGACACCTGCCGCCGCTTAGGCACTATACATAGGCAACCCAAAGCATACATACCTAGGTAGGTAGGCAATGATCTCCCACAGTATTTCTTCTAATCTTCCATTATCAAGTCTTACTTGCAAAAGTATCAAATTATCAAATCGTATACCATTCTGCTAAGACATCTAGTGCACTTCCCATATGATCAGGAATGATAAGAAATATTCAAGTCTCTAGCTGCTGCTTCCTTCATGTTATAGCAACTTAATTCCTAATTTAACCCGATTTATTTGCACACAACTCTAGCTTCAAAAATGGCACAGTGTTTAGCGTCGAACGCAAACCTCACGATGGATAAATCACCTAGCCAGTGTCCATGTGGGCCTCATCATCATAGCTTATAGCCCTAGATATTAATCAAATTACTATCTGCCCATTGGCCCAGTGGTTAAGGCGTCTGACTGTTAAGCATCAGAAAAATCAGAAGATCCCTGGTTCGACCCCAGGATGGGCAGCAAGTTTCCAAACTTAATATCTAATAACTCATTTGTCCCCTCTACTGTGAGGCGTATCAACGTTTTTTTCTTTCCATCTCAAGCCAGTTTCAAATTTTCCACTAATAAAAATTATAATAAAACACTATCCGCAACCCCTTTAGATCTGTCTATCTTTGTAATACATAGATAGGTCCACAAAGACTTAAGAGAATACATGTAGTATCATCTAATAGTGATATTTGCTTCTATGATAAAAGGGGTCCAATTAGCTGTAAACGCGGGAGGGGAATACCGAATTATCCGCAACTCGCGTTACCGCAGTTCCCCGATGTTGATGCTTACGCTACACAGCAGCAAGAATGAGATGACGTGGCAGTATCATGACAGGCAGCTGTAGAAGGAAATCTTTCGGAAGGTTGCGGTCATGTAACCACCAACTGCAGATAAAGCTTACGTGAAGACTATGCTGACTGTCAACACCAAGTCCGGACTGCTTGATGGCTTGGGGACTGAACATTTTTGTCGGGAAACAAAGCGACCTTCGTCCCATTCAGGTTCTCAAATGTGGCACGAGTCTCCTCAGCCCAAGGTCGGTCAACACGGCTCTCGGGTCTTTCAAGTTCCCCCAGAAACTTCACTATGGTGGAAGCGACCTCCGCGAACACAAGACGGAAACCCAGGCATATCCGCGCACCGTTACAAAAAGGGGTGTACTCCCACGCAGGTTTTAGGGTATCCCAACGCTCCAGGCGGAACTGATCCGCATCTCCCCCCCCAGAAGTCCCTGTCCTGCAGTATGCAGCGGAAGTTCATCACCACCGTATCTCCTTCTCGGAGATAAAGGGGTGCTGTTCCGTCTTTGCCTCCGCCGCTTGGCAGAACGACCTCCTTGATGCATCGACGAGAGATCAACGTTGAGATGGGCATAACACGATGCGTCTCGCGGGTTGCATTTTTAAGATACTGATATGTCTTTGACAAATCATAGGTGATGGATTTATCCTTAGTGGGAAATATCTCTGCCCCGAGCTTGGCCCAGCTGGCTGGGTACCGCGATAGATGTAAAAAGCACATCGCTGAGCGTGGTGGCAGCTCCATCATGCGCGGGAGTGAAGAGGTTCTGCATCTGGAAGCGGAAGGTGATCGATCTTGGCCATCTCGTCGACGAGGTGAAACCGATCGGAACCAACGCCTGCTAACTCCCACTTTCTCTCGGCGAGTCAAGGCCTTATCAACGCTCTTGTCAAGAAATTCGTTTGCGATGTCGCAATACGCTCCACCACTTAGGATCGCGATGCAGAAAGCGTACTTTCGGTCCTAGCATAAGGCGCACTACTGTTCCCCGTCGTGTTACGTGCATCCCGATTGACAAGCTTTAGGTACTCGGCTGGTAGCTTTAAAATCAACTTATTTGCCCAAGCTTATCAGACCTCTCAGTCTAGTAACGGGAACAAATGTTGTGCTGATAACAGTCTACTTTCCTACTAGAACTTTAACTACCAGGGTTAAAATAATGAGTGGATGTTCCTTATAAGAGAACGCGTGAGGGAATATGAGAGCTAATGTCCGAGATATTCAGAGGAGTTGTTTCGCGAAAGGAGGCTCTTTCCCAATTACCACTACTAGAGCCATTCAATTAGGCATTTTCTAACGCCGCAGAATATGTTCTATTTTCCAAAGAGCCGAGTTGGACTATTAGCTGCGGGCCTCACAAAGTCTTCCGTCCGCAGACACTTCCCATGACTCGCTTCCCACTGCAGTGGGACCCCAGAATACGCCATCTGGGTCGTACACTTTCTTTATGACGGCTAACCTGGGATAATTCGAACCGTAAAAGACCTCCTGCCAATTGGGCTGGTGGATGTCACCCTCGTTGAGATACGCGGCTCCTCCTGGTGTCAACCTCTCCAGAGCTGGATCAAAAACATTCGTGATTGTATTCTGGTCGATTATGTTCTGTGTCATATTGTGCTGGTTATACATACTGTCCAATGAGTTAACTTCGAGTCGCGGAATAAGGGGGTGGAACCATTTTGCTGGAACGCTTACGTGCCGAGGAACGCCAGAAATACCGTCTCGCGCCAAGCAGGATGGACTGAGTTTGGGAATGTCGGTGGACGGTTGACATTGATTGAATTAGAAGCTAGGATCCCACCCTGATCCAAGATTAACTTAATGGCTTGGACAAGAGAGGTGGCCGAGTCTTCAGATGAGACAAGAGATCGAGGTATGAGGCGCCCGCCAAGATTGACATCCGAAATGTTCATATCGGGATTCAGCGTGTAAAATGCGTCCTGAAACCTCGAGAAGTTACGCGAAGTCCATTCTGTAGGAAGTAAGTTAATTAGAGGACCTATGATCGGAGTGGGCAGTCATCGGTTTACTAACCGTAGGGTATTCCATTCTGATCAAGAGCCTGACGAAGAGGCCGGAAGAGTCGCTCGAAGTCCTGCGCAATCCCCCCTAGTAGATACGATTGCGACATGGAGAATACATTCCCGGGAAGGAGCATAAAGTAAACGCTAGCACCGGAATCTAGAACAGATGGTAAGTTCATCAGGAATACTCGAATCATATCCCAATATGTGTCGGACGGCTCGGTAAAAGATATGGTGGCACCAGCCGTTGGTTGATCTGGGTGTACTTTGACTGTCATGGAGAGAACAACACCATACGTGCCACCACCACCTCCTGACAGAGCCCAATAGAGATCTGAATGCTGGCTAGGAGTAGCGGTTAGAAGTTCCCCCTGTCCAGTAACTACATCCCACTCTAAAACCTGGTCAGCAGCGAGGCCAAACTTAGAACCTAAAGGACTAGTTCCACCACCCTGCGTATAGCCACCTGCGATGCCCACAGATGGACAATCCCCTTCTACAACGACCAAGCCATTCGTTCTTGCTACATCTTGAGCTTCATACGCTTGGACGCCAGCGCCGATCTTCATAGCTTTCCCAGTATAGCCTGGAGACGCGTAGTCTAGAATCGAAATGTCTTTGATGTGATGTGTCCAAATAGCTAACGCACCAGCGCCCGTGGACTTCCCCATATAATCATGACCGGTATTTCGAATGACTAGTCGAATATTGTGCTTCTTTGCGAAAGCTATAGTATCGATGTAATCCGATGCGCTCGAGGCCTTGACGGCATAAGAGACGTAGGCGCCGACGACACATTGAGCATCGCGAGGCGTAAATGGATCGCAACTCGAGTTGGCGAAAAACGAAGCCATGGGCGAATGCGTGGTCTTGTAGTGAAGCGAAGGACGAGCCCAATTGGCTTGTATGTCTGCGCATTTGTCCGCATCGTAATCCACTCCGGGGAAGCTGTCATGGCATGGACTGGCAAGTGGGACTGTGGCGATAAGTTTACCTCGGACGGTTTCGTTGAAACTGCTCCATTCCTCGGATGATGGCCAGCAATCATCCCCTGGGAAGCATCGACACCGAGGCTGCTTCTGCGTGAATAGTGAAGTCTGCGACGCTCCTATCCATATCGCCCCGAGAAGGACGAAGATTGAAGCCAAGGCCGTCCACTGCAACTGGACCACTCCCTGTGACATTTTCATGCGAGTCAACTGCGAGATATTGAGTCCTTTAGGAGAAAAGAGGATAGATAATATGAAAGCGAATAAGCCTCTGGGCTCGAAAACAAACGGTTAGCAAAAGATTCTGCTTCGATTGTCACGAAAGGGAGGGAGGGCCAGCCAACACTGGTCGCACAAACGCAACCAACATGCAGCTGCCATATATCGGCTTGTGTAACAAGGAGGCCCTACGCTACTGGGTTGGCTTTGTCTACTCGGGAGTCGCCCGAACGCCAACCCAACCAACCTCTCTTCTATTCGATAGCTTGATCTTCTACTCGGCATTCCCTTTAGTAGCATCCATGCAAGCTCGCCGCTTATATGATGGAACCTTAGCTTCTATGTCCAACTGCTAGAAGGCATAACGATACTTATGCCTGTATCAATCCTTACGCCGGGAACTGAATGTTGCTAGGAAAACCATCGTGTTGCGGAAGCAGTAAGTCGGGTATCGATATGCCTAGTTCCCTCATATAACATATATCTGTCTGTTAACGTGATTTTGAAGGAGAGCGGAGTTGGACGAGATACGTTGGAGCAAGTCACGTAGCTCTTCTAAGTTGCATCAAAGCAACCCTCTGGGAGGCCGCCACCCTTGTACCGACATCCTCTCCGGTCCGCATCGCTGATGTGATAAATGCGAAAAGCTTGGAAGATGTAGCTGCGTTAGTAGGGAAGTGGCATGCACTTGCCCTGTCCTCGCGACTCTGGGTCTCGTTGTTCTAGCTGAAGTTCGAGACTGGTGGAAAGACTTCGAAACAAATCTTGTCCCCTATCGGATATTGTATACCATGAAGACTTCCTTACATCAGCTGCTCTAGACAAAGGTGTTAGCGGCCAAGGCTTTCCTCCCGGCCGCAGACACCCATACGACCATACTTAGTGTGACCGCAGATATACGCATACACCTAGCTTATCGGCTTTTGCTTCCTCGAAGCTAGCGCAACCCAAGATCTACAAGTTCTTGGCAGCTGAAATCTATCGAACTAGTTGCTCGCGCATTTCCTGGATTTAAAGCTCGAGAAGATAAGCCAACAGAAGCCAGGGTTAGGGTTTAATTGGGGGTTGTACACCTACCCCGCTCTCGCCAGCCACCAGAACTAAGGGGTGTTACCCGTTCTGCAACCCTATCCCCCCTATACGTCACGACTTCATCAGCTCCTGCAAGGGATTCTGCTTCTACAGCCAAGCTTTTACTCGTTTAATACCAGCAGACCTTTATCTGTTTGCGATTGGATGACCACCATCATGAATTTGCGACATCTGCTCTTTATACTCGGGATCGTCTCCGTCGAAGCACATCAAGTACCTCTAGGAATACACAACGTACAGTGCAGAGAAGCCTTTAAATTTCCCCCAAAACCAGCATTCGTACCTGGTCAGAAGATATTCCCAGGAATAAACGACGATGTTGATATTGTGACTGGGAGTC